TCGGGGGAGTCCCACAAGAGCGTTTCCACCAGTTATCTTTTAGTAGGGGCGGCGATTTCAGGAGGGGCCATAGATCTCACCCAGGTGAGGGAGTTAAGCCAGCCTTGCACCGTACCTCGGCCGCCTCCGCCGTTCAGGGTCAGCATCGAGTCCAACTCTTCCGAAGTGAAGGTCGCAGGGACCCCGGAGCCCAAAGCGTCCGGGGGGGGCTCGACACCAGTACTAGAGTTGTTCCCCCCAAGTCGGTTAGCCGCTTGGTCTATGATATTCTGCACGTTTTGGAGGCCTTGCATAGTCGACAGACTGGGTCGCATTCTCGAAGGCAGACTCTCGGTCGGGCCTTCTTCTTCCCGGACAGTGGCGCTCTCATCTTCTCTGTTGTTAGTAGCCGACATCTTGTCCAGCCTTCTGACGTTCTCCGCGAGACTTCACTTGGAGCAAGACCTTCTCCAGCTAGCAGACTACCCTGCTTCTCCACCAGATGTCGTATACCTCCTCTTCCTTCAAGGGTCGGGTAGTCCGCGGCTGTTCAGGGAGTACGGTCTTGTTCAGTGGCTGCAGGAACGGTAGATAGGAACACTAGAGAGTTGAAAATAAAAGTTTGTTGATTGGCTTGGCTTCCTCTTGAGTAGAAGGAGGGAAATATAAGACTGAGAGCTAACCGGAAGAGAGGCCTAACACCTTCTCGACCTTACATACACTACACTACATAAAAAAAGGAAGGATTCACTTCGTTTGTTGTCGTCCTTCGTGGGACAACGGAGAGCCTCTGGGAAAGGGCTTGATGTCGCGAGGTGCTTTTGGTCCCCGACGCCAAGACTCCGGCGTTCAGGGGTCCCCTTATAGTACCACCCTAACGGGCTCGGTCAAGGGTACGTGCGAGGTTGAGTTCAACGGGAACCACCCTGACGGGACGGCGGGGCGAGGAGTGATTCCAGGGTCTCGGGTCATCCCGACGGGAGGCAGAGCTCCTGGAATGACCCCTCCGTTCCCGGGTACGGGACACTGTTGGAGTGACCCCCGCAGTTGTTTGAAGGTTAGACTGGTGGTGACCTTAGCTTTGTATCAAACTATCAAACTACAAGCCTCGTTTGACTTGGGTTGTGGCCCCTACTTCAGTATAATTGAAAAAGGATGCCCCCCACGGAAATTTGAAATCTTATATAGAGGGGCAGCTTGTTGTTGCCTCTACCTGTATTTTGTTGTTACATTTTGTCCTGCCGATCGAGCAGAGCCTCCAAGAGTTTATGCGTTACATCGGCAAGTTGTCTGTGAGATTGTGCCAATCTACCAAGTTGCTCGGACCGCTTCTAAAGAGCACGCATGATCTATCCTGTTGGGGGAACTCTTTCACGTCAACAGCTTGGACTTCATCTTTACGAACGGACGGCGTTTCCTGCTCAGCAGGCTGCGGAGAGACGGAAATTGGCTGCAATGGTAGCTCTGGGACTTCGTTTTGACAGATAGTCGGAGCTGGAGATACATTTGGTACTAAAGCTGGTTCAGGAGACAGCGGACTCCGCTCCGCTACGGAGCCCCTTGCATCAGTTGATGGTGACGTCACTTCATTTTGTTGCGTTGCCTTCTTCTTCCTCTTTGGGGATTCTTTATAACTTGTCTCTTGCACGACCGTCTCCTCCGTTTCACTGATAAACCTCGGGAGAAACTAAGGAGCGCCCAACTAAGGAGCGCCCAAACATAAATGGAGCACCATATGCACTGACGTAGAGGCAATCATGGTCAATTAAAGTCGATCTTCATCAATCAGGCTGAAATATTCTTGAAAAGATTGATCTTGATGAAGAAGAATCTTTTCACGAATATTGTTGAGATAGAGTTGAGAACAAGGTATCGCGCCCATTGTCTGATTGACTGCCGAAGGGCAAATTGAGCGGGGGCTAATGTCCTAAGAGGGTTGTCGCGGCATGCCGTTAATTCCCCGTCAGACAATTAAAGGTAAGCTGTTCTATACAATTCGTGTATTAATTAATCTGCTAACTACCCTTTTATCTTTCCAGCGCACCACCGTAGCTTAATGGAAAAGACCCGAAAGGGATGAAGGGGGCTCGATTCCTCCCGGTGGTATTATTTTTATTTTTTTTATTTTTTTACAGATTTGCCAAACTATTAATTCAAGCCTGCGTAACCCCAACTACGCGGAGGCAAAAACGCGATATCCGCACTAATGCTGTCGTCTTCTGCTAATTTATTATTCTGAACAAGCCGATGGAAGGAGGCTTTATGCATTTGTAGATTAAGTGAAGTTCTTCTTTTAAAAATATCCTCTGAAGAAGTCATAAGATCTTGAAGCACATCTTGCAATCTGCATATGGTGCTCCATTTATGTTTGGGCGCTCCGCTCCTTAGTTTCTCCCATAAACTGACTGTATCGGCTTCTTACTGAAGCACTCGGACATCATCGCGTGTAGCTGTGTAGTGCGGTCCTCCTGCCACTGCTGACGCAATCTCTTGAGATGGTCGCTGCACTTAACAGCATCCACCTCCATCTCCACCTCCTCCATGTCATTCAGTTTAACGGCCACGACCCCCAGGCCTCATGCACATCCGCCACTGTCTCGGCTTCGTCGAAAAACGTCCGCAGCGTCTGGAAGCGCAGCCGCAGCAGCCCCTGACTCGACTCGGGGCTCCAGCTCATGTCCTCTTGGGGCGATGGATATTTCTTCCGCCGTGGCCCGTCTCCTCCCCATCGTGTGCTCTTGCCATCGACACTCTGACAACACACACACGAAACTCTGGCAAGTGCTCAACGCTATGGGCACTGAACTGTCTGCAGGATATTCCGACACCAAGTAAAAGAAGTCCACCCCATGAGCAACATGTACCGGTAGGTATTAATTGTGTCGCTAAAACCCGACAATTCAGACATGAATCTTAAGAGTTTGTGAAAAATCTGCTGCGTGTATTTCTTCTGACAATCCTAGGTAAAAAAAAAACGAATCGAACTGCGACTTCAGAACATTGACTTCTGTGGAACCTACATGTACAACATAGATCTGACCATACTTAATTATCCCTTACTTCTTAGCAAAGGTAGGCAGCCACCTCGTATTCTTTACATGATGAGGGGCGCGCTACACTACTTTTCAGCAATAATTCGTTTGCCGTTCTTTCAGTCTCTGCAGCCCAGCCATCCTTCCAGGACGGAATCACATTTTTGCCCAATATCTTTCTGAATCTGATACCGACGTAGCTTAATGTAGTTTTCGTCCCCATAGCATGACAGCACCTGCATACGAGTATTGTAACAGATGCCAACTCCTCCGTCAGGACCCTCACACTGGGCGAATGGTTTGCTGTCGCATATTTCGATCGTTTGCTTAGTAGGCCCACCTGGTACAACCAGCAAGTCGGAAGACATTTTCTGGCAGATGCTGGCATCGAATCGAGTGAACGCTTCTTGGGTACCAGCATTACCAAGAAAAGGTTCACCCTTGAAGCAAGACGCCGCTGGGATACCCGAGCGAGAGTTTTGGACGCAGAAGTCGTCAGTTAAGTCGCACTTCCCACGAAATCCATTGCAGCAGAGTTGGATTGGGAGCGAAAGTGTAAAGTCCGAGAGAGCTTTCAGCGGTGCCATGTCTGGTATCTGTTCGAGGTGAGGCAGCAGCCCCAAGACGAGACTCTGCAGCCGAGAAACGTGATCAAAACTCGGGAGGGTTCGTAGCTCGAGTAACCAGGCTAGAGTCACACTCTGGAGATTCGGAACACCACTGAGAGACGGAATACGCGAAAGCTCTGGATGAATCCCAATGTGAATTGTGGATAGCCACGGCATATCATTGAAAAGGTCGTCGGGCAGTAAAAGGAGATTTTGACTGCCCACTTTCCCTTCCAAATGGCTGACAGTAACGTAACAATGTCAGAAGAATGTTTGGTACTGTACAACTCGAATTCAACACTCACAGAGTTTGAAGGTACTTGAACTCCTTGGTCCACGACGGAATCTTCTGAATACCGGTATAAATGAGTTCCCTACCAGCGACCACAAGCGATTCCTGGTTAGTACATGATTCTCATAGATGTGGTAGAACTCACAAGGACGAAAGTTGGCGGCAGGCTCGAAGTTCTTCCGGCAATTCGAGCAGTTGGCGATTAATCAGCTGAAGTGACCGCAATTCTCCTGCAGTCGCCAGTGCCTGAACGGTGCTGTACACGTCGACTGGATTGGTCCACTCGTCGTACGTTCTTGGTGCCCGATCCACGTCAATCAGAATTCGACACGGACACACCCCGCCCTGTTTCCAGCGGTAGGCGTAGACAACACACTGCGGGTAATGAGAGCAGTGTGCGTGTGAGTCTGCGATGACTTGGTTAGTGACCATCCAGACCACGACACTGAATGCGATGAAGAAGACTGCGACCACTCTGGGGACCGGTCTCTGCTGTCTGTGTCGTGTCGTTCTCTTCGCTCGCAAAGCCTGTGCCCGCCGTACATGTGCTGCAACAAGGACATCTCCAATGCGCTTCAGCCGATAACAAAACGAAAGGTTGATGCCAACTCTTAGAACCAAATCGAGAGTGGACTTGATTCGAAGCGAGTCAAACGCCAAGCGGAAAAGTGCCATCTCGGAGGGGTCAGCGAAGACTGCAGCGGAGCGCTCAAAGCTGCCGACGGGGAGAATTTCCAGATATGTCGCGAAGACGGCGTCGTCAAATTGGAAATTGTAGAAGCAGTACACGAGTACTAGACAAGGAAAAACTATTGCAGCGAACAGGTCGAAGCTGCCGAGCATGAACGTAGAGACGTTAGCATATCAGCAGCTAAGCAATCCTCATCTCACATGTATCAGAACTCACGGACAACCGGCGACGACTTCCCCCATAGCAGAGAACTTGCCGATCAGTATCTTGAGTGCTCCGGCCAACGAGCCCAGCGAGATAAAAGCTGTGTAGCCGTACACAAGAGCTACCGGGTTCCCAGTTTCCAGCAACTCGAGCAGCACTGTCATCTGCATGCTCAAATTGAAGATCTTCAAGCACACATTCTGTACCATAAGAGCAATTAGTATCAGTACTACTCGACCTGTAAACGTGCCGGTCGTACCCAAAACTTCCGTTTGTTCCCACGAAAGGAGGTGAATTCCACGTATTGAGTCTTACAGCGAAGACTTGCAGCACGCATCCACGAATCTACAGCAGAGTCCGCACGTCGTTGTTCTTCATGCCTCTGACTGGCCTGCTGAAGATGAAGCACAGTCTTTTGCCAACGCAGCATCTTTATGACGACGTACAGGTAGCAAGCGCTTACAAACGCAAGACCTGCTGCGCCAATCTTGGTCATTACAGGGTCCGTATCGATCATTAGCCAGAACTGACCGTTGTCGTAGCCAGTAGTACCCATTAACCAGTTGGCAGCTTGATTAGGAAGTAGCGTCACGCAGATCAAGCAGTTCGTCCACGAGATGCACGCCACAAGCGTAACAAGCATCGGAGTTCCTAGGGCCCCAAAAGCTTCGCCAAAAGTGAGGGTTACAAACTGATATTTTTTCTCGCTTGTTTTCTCCTCTTGCGTCGTCAGAGTCGCTACTGGCAGGATTTGATTAGTTTTCATTGTCGACACAATGACCGACTGGGTATCCATTCGTTGGATCTTCTTCCTGCTTGGTGCACTGCGAAGCTTTGACGTGTCGAAACCAGCAGCTACGACGTTGGAGGAACTGAAAGCTTTTCCCATCAGCTCGCGTAGCAGTGACAGAGGAACAGCTGGTTGATCTTGTCTTAATCACCCATAAATAGCCAAGCTAAGCTTAGAGGTATGCACTTTGGGATCACGGAGGTGCCACTCCCTTTTTCTTAGTCCCCAACATATTTATAAAAACAATTGTTTTGTAATAATACTGTCTTCAACAGTATTAATAGTCGATTAGACCACTTTCGAATACGCATACCGGAAAGCTAGGTACTATTACTATTATTCACTTTACGAGAAACTTATTTCTGATGCATTAATGCGCCATGCCCTACATGTACAAAGGAGAATGCACAGTAGCTGTTCATAGGCGGACTGGAATTGTTATAATTAACCTCTTTGAAAACCAAATACAATCCAGATTACAAAAAACAAGGTTTATTCATTTTAATTGCAATAAAATCTGTCTTTCTTGCACGAAATTATTTGTTTCTGAACGTTGGGTATTCTAATGTTTTTAAAGAGTCATGTTGGTTTTATTTTAATAGGATTTACTTCAAATATGCTAAATAATATTCTTTTTACTGAGGGGCACCTGGACAGCCTCACCAATTTTATTATATTGCCGGTGTGCCGTTTAATTGCGCGATTGTTACCTGGGTCGATAGTCCACAGACTGACCCTAGGGATTCAACATATTAAGCATATGTTCCATGATATATGTTGCGTAAATGTTGCTAGGAAGTGTGATCACTTAATGCGAGAAGCGGCTCATTATTGACAACAAACGAACCGGGATGACATCTGCTACAGTGGTAATAGGCTAGTACAAGCTTTGGATCCTTCGTATAATTATCACAGGATCAAAATATCTATAGCTCGTCACTCGCCAATGCCGCCTTATCTAGAATACGCTCAGCAAGTAGCCCAATAGCGATTCGTGTCGCTTTCGCTTGAACCCACTTGTCCTGGTTGTACATTTTGCAACAGCTCGTGGCTTCTTTTTTTCGCATGCGCATGTAGCAGTCGTCGTTTCTCTCGGCTGCACTTTGGGTCATTCTTTTATTGCTTGTCGGTCCCAACAAATATTTGTCTATTTTTTCTTAAATGCATAAATATTTGTATTTCTAGTAGTATTTCACCTTTTTTCTAAACAACACACAGAAAATCAACTGTCCTCCCAGATTAAAGCAACGCATCTACATGTAGTCTGCAGTATAATTTAAGCTGTACTTCCCTTGCCCTTGGTTTCGTCGCTCTTGCCCACAATCATGCCCGGCTTGCCTCGCGGGCCAAATACTTAATCTTGGCGTCAACGAGCACCGTACAAGGTATCCCAAAAACCACTATGTCGCCCAAGTGCGGAGCGACCTTGGTTAGATTCTGCAACGGCGACTTACCCCTCGGGATCGCGAGGTTAGGACTCCTGCTCAATGAATATGCCACGTATTCTGCAGCATCCCCCAGAAACGGAGCGGTAGGCAACAGGCAAATACCATGTACATCCCGGTGCGGCGCCTGCGCTCGTCCTTGCCGCTGCTCGCCTGATTTCGCGGCTTGCTTACTTGCCGCCCAATCCCAGTTTCCTTGAGAAGCTGATCAAGGGTCTTGTAGTCTCTTCCACAGCCGGCTCGTAGCACTTGGATACGGCAGCTAAAGGGCCTATCAAAAAAGACCCGTGCTTGACTTTCATTGCCACCACGTGCTTGCTATTTGCCAGGAAGACTCAACAATAGCTGGTTCAATAATCGATAAAGATGATTAGGCATGAAGTTCGGAGTCTGTCGCGTGAAGCCATCGGCCACTTCAAGTCGGAGCAGATGATCCCACCAATGACATCTATAGGCAAGCTCTTTCCCGTGTCCTTTCGTGGTTGTCGACGCTTGGTCTGTTTGCCCTGAGCGCAGCCCAGGCGGCTCACACGAGCCTCATCTGTCAACGTAATACCTGAAACCAGGTCCTTAACTATTGTATCGTAGTTAAGATGGTCAAGCCTGCGGTAGAAGTGCCAGCACGACCCGCTCTGCACGCCCAGTGCAGCTGCAGGTTCGCTCTCAGCCAACATTGCCATGAACACGACCCCCGCATTCCTGCATATATAGCCCCCCCCCACACACAGTCAGCATGTTGTTGGGCTTCTCCGCGTTGAAGACCGCCGTACCACCATTGATTGCTACCACCACTCGATGCTTTCCAACCAATTTGCGGTCTCGGTTGAAGCCGTGGTTTATATGTAGCCCGTGGTCGAGCCGCAACTCACAATAATCTCAGTTTAAGCCGCGGTTTTGCTTTAACTCGCGGTGTCTCAGCTAAGACGTGGTTCCGTGCACCCACAGGCTTAGTTTAATCCACGGTCTTATTATAGCGTACTTTGATCTCAGCTTAGCTCTCAAAGCAGTGTCATTCACAGAAGTGTAGTTGCACTTATGTGTATCACTTTCTTCATCAGCACTATATGTACTTCTAGCTAACTCGATGTACATCGATAGATATAGTAGCCGCAAAAACGGCAGCACGAGCCAGCCTTGTCCCAACAACAGCAACTCGAGAGTCACGACACACTAGACACCACACAATTCCCCCCCTCTGTTTGCACCAGTTAATTTGCTGAAAAGTTAAATCTGCACCACGCTTGAGCTGGGAGGGGGGGGGGAGGCACTATTAAATTGATAGTCGGCTTGAGCTTCCCGTACCTTTGTTGTTCATGCATGGAATCGAACACGCTGGCAATTCTGCTGCTGGAGTCGACATGGAAGCAACCCAGTGGGCATCATTACAGCTAATACATCCGATGCCATGATCCTTCAAATTCTTAAAAACCCCAACGGATGATGAAACCTTATCTTTGTTGTCTGCGAAACGAATCCCAGAAAAGTGGGGTTAATATTGCTGACACTCCAATAGCGTTACCGTAGGGTCACAAGGCGGCGGCAACGCAAGTTGCTGTCAGCCACAGTATTTCACGCTATTGAAGCATTAATATGCCTCTAAGCTTCCCCCCTTTCGCAAAGGTGTATCCCAAGTTGAGATCCTCAACACTGCGTTTGTGTTCGTCCTACGAATAAACAATTACGTTAAGTTAGCTCTTTTGTGCAAAGCAGAGTTCGATTTTGTGTGAGATAATGTACCTTCGTAGCCCACACAGTATCATCAAATGGAGGTACAACGCTTGACGCTAACCAATCCACCTTCTCAATCTAAACCCCACGTCACGGAAAGCTGCCCTCGCGTCAAGAATTCTAATCATTACACATAACTGATCCAAAGTTACTGGACCGACGTTGTTCCATTCAGCTTATGACCCTATTATATTAAAATAGCTATTACATAAAGACACATTAATACACGAAAGTTTTGTTGTTGTCGATCAGAAGTCTAACACTAGCAGACTTAGTCTTTGTTGCGGCCCATTTGACGTCTGCGTCTTCTAGTATGTATCTCGAAGCCTGTAGCTTCAAATACGACTCGCAAATTGCGAGTGGGAACCACCAAGGTTCGGATTCCGGTCGATAACAAAGCAAGGCGACCATCTCGAAGGCTAAAGCGGAAGGCTTCTAATCACGACATTGTAGCTCTAAGTGTAGGTGTTGACTGCTGCACAGCAATTTATATGTCCTCCAGGACATTTCGATCTTTCGAATACTTGCACTGGCTGGTCAGGACCTTCGTGGTTCCGATAGAATTTTTCATTCCCCGTCTGTGTAAACCAATCCCTTCAATCTGACCTTCAGTAAGATCATTAATTGGGCTGTGAGCATCCAGCGAGGCGAGTAAGATGATATAGGCGAAATGGTCGAGTCGTTTCCGTTCTGTAAGCGCAGATATAGAGCATGACGACATGGTAGCAGCAGAGTTTGTACGAATACACAGAATCAAGAGAAGGTCTATCAAAAATTTTGGAATGTAAGCTACTTTTTTCTTCACAATACAAAACTTCGAATATTCACCTTCGTGCTGATACGGTATATCCCTATGTCCTAGTCATGCGTCACCCGAGCTTGTCTCGGTTCGAACATGTCAAATGTGTAGTGCGTCTCACCAACGATCGCAAACTTGTTTTCTGCTTTTACGTACTTGAACGCATGGGAGCGAATTTTCATAGCCATCGCAGAAAGCTCTTGATCTTCGCCGTCGATTTGTGGTCGCGATCCCACGCAATTGATTTCACACAGGTAGGCATTCTCTGCCCAGTTCAACAGCGTCTTCACTGTAGATACCACTTCATCTAGATAGAAAGGCTTCTTGATAACTTTCTCCCCCCCCCTCTCGCTTTGCTTCAATGCGGTCATCGATGTGGTTCTGAAGATGCGAAATGTCACGCTGCAAGTACATAGTCCACTGTTCCTTACATACATCCGAATGGTTTATAAAAAGAAACTCGTAAAACGAGTTTGTTTATCGCCACCGGGTGATAGAGCAATGCTTCCTCATATTCTAGGTAGTTCACTTTACTCTTCGCGTAAATCAGGGCGGTTATAGCTTCTTTAATCACACTTTTAATCTTCACAGATGCCACTACGCGAGCGCCAACTTGTTGTCCAGCCATTTCTGCACGTGAAACAGACAAAGTAATTGTCTGACCTCCGGAAATATTTCAACAAAACGGCCTTCTCGTGGAATGCCTTATTCGACGCTATAACCTTGACATTCTTTCAATCAGGGTTATTGTGCTTCGGGGAATCAACAGAAAAGAGGCTTGATCTCATTAATAAGTAGCAGGTACATTACGTGCTGGCCCTGATAACGAAACAAGTAACAGTACAATGTGTTTGAATAAGATACGGCCTCCTAAAGTCGCATTAGTTTCTTTCATCATTTCTCGCCTTTTCCAAATACGACGTAAACAACGAAGCTGAAGAGTCTGTATCTGTTTAGATTTGTCGCATGAGTTGTGTCAACAAATAAACCTCTGGATACGCACGGAGCATCCACTACATTCTGGCGATCTAAAAACAACAGCCTAAAGCACCTTGGAAGTTGGGTCCACCAGCATCTCCGCAGAGTTGCAAGCGTCGGCAGAGCAAAACTCATCCAAGATCTTCTTAACCCTGTCAAAATCCGAAGTTTCGTGTCTCTTGTCACGTTTAAGTGACTGGATGATGTTGTGGACATCTCGTAGCGTACACGCTTTTTCTACGGAGAACAACCAAACAGGAAACAAACTAATGCACAAAATGTAAGTGACAGTGCTCGGAAAAATGTTTTTGTTTTGTCGAGAATGCACACCTGTTTGCTTTCGAACGTAAGTAAATATATCAGGCGGATAGGCCCCAGCCTTACGCATCGTAGCTCTATCGTCAAGTAAAGCCGGATCCCTGATGCGTCGATTATCCGCGTAGAAAGCCCATTATGCTGCCGTGCAACTTGCAAGCGTGGTTGTGAAACCCTTTTGGATCGATATACCAGGTAATTTTCTACGTAACCTCAAGTTAAGCTACGCGGTGCAGCCCGTGTAGCGAACAAGTTTGTGCTGCCTCTCACTAGAGCCTTTTGGTTTGCATTTGTAGCCGTGGTGGGTACACACTAAAGTTTTCGAGTAAATTCCTCATTCCAAAAAAATAAAACTGCTACAGTGCTGTCTTTTGTTTTCTCTAATCTTGTAATTGCGGGCACTGACAAATGCAAACGAGTGACCTGGAAAACGCTGATACGCTTCATTGCAAACCTTTGAAATACGGTATTGAATGCCTCATTGCTACACCAGCAACTTGGAATCCTTCCAGAAATCCTCCATTCTTTTCCGACGTGATGATCGCTCCCATTAGCTATGTTTGGCGAGCTAGGTAGACTTCCGGTGTGGAGTTCACAAATTGGTTTAGTGTATTTCTGTATTACAATGCCACTTTCTTCTACATCACTTACGGACTATTTTGACTTCTGGCCTTCCCCAGCACTGGACGATACGTTGCCAGCAGACTCCATTTCTGCATCATCCTCGGAGCTCTCGTCCGAATCACCAGAAGCAAAACAAACTCAGAAATAGACGAGACTCCACTCGAAATATCATCGGCGCCGACCAAGCCTTCTGGGTCAAGCGCTGTGCGTTCATCCAGCGTCTCGTTTGTCTCTTTGACTTAGACCGGCCTACCGCGCTTCTCCCGTCACAGCTCCTGCTTCTGAACTTCGCGCTGCTTCTCCAAAGCTTTGCAAGTCATTGCAGCCAGCGGGTGTCCTGCATCTGTCAATCGTTGGGCGTAGGTCTCGCGAGCTGTTCGCTCGAGTTGGCGTGCATATTTGACATCCGACACTTTCCGGTTGCTGACTTCCCCCCCCTGATGTGCGTGGTTCATTGTGTAGTTTGACCCTGAGTTGGCAAACACATCATTACATCAGTCAGTTTAATTATGTGATACATCGAAGGGGAAAGCGTCGCGCACGAGTACCATTAACCAGGGAGCGTCAAATGCGTTGTGCCACTCGTTTGAGGTTTTATAATTATCAGGCTGCAAATTTTCGACGTTTCAAATCTCCCTATCCATTTGGTTTTTGTTAACACATTTTCAACCAAATTACTGAGTAGTCCACCAAGTCTTCGATGTTTTGTAGTAACAGCTTCCCAGTTACCAGCAAATGATTCGACAGGTACAGCGTTTTTGTCCATGTTTACAGTGTCTCTGTCTTGTTAAGCACACTACATCACTCGTTTCGTATGCAGACATGCCAGCTTTCCGAGGATCACATCCTTGTTGAACATCATATTTCCGCAACCGCCTGTGAAATATAAGCAGTGAAGCTTTAGCCAACCAAACGAGGGGAATTCTGACGCCTTTTTAATGTAAGGTAAACTGTCAATTAGGGGCCACAAAACAAGCATTTGATTCCCAAGCGTGTCGCTTGCAATCCAATGCACGGCAAAGACAAGTTGTGACAGTTTTGAAAAGGCCATGTATATTTCCTGGTCATTAACCAATGAAAATTTTCTGTGGAAACAACATCCGATAAAAAACAACATTTGACATGAAATCAGTATGGTTTGTGACGTTTACTGACCGTTACGAAATTAGCCAATCCAAGGCTAGGTCAGTCATCAAAAATAATAATTTTACCATGTGAACACATATGCCAGGTTATTGATTATGCAGAACAAGCTACTTTCGAAAGCGCACAGCAGGCTGCACACACGACGCTCAGATGGGCGGATGGGGCGCTGGTCCTCCTGGAGTTTCAAGACCGCAGCTTCCACCCCCAGTGCATCGTGCAGCAGCCCCCATACACTGGATTGCAATTACCACCCTCGACAGCTGTCAGGATATATCCTGCGAAATACTTCAACCCTGCAGGGCGGGTGTATTGCTGTTCCAATTGGCAGCGCGAAGAATTGTGTTCTTTCAGTATGAAGACGACGTTATGGGTACTTGTAGACACACTTTATAGCTGTTAATCTTTCTAAACTAGAGCAGACTAAACCGATGCCGCTTGTGTTCGTCAGATTTTGCTGGGACACTTTTCGCGTGTTTGCGTCCCTCTTTTTCCGCGTGCTCGCTCCAGATGTGGCGCTGCTAGTTTTGATTTATTTTAAAACAGCGTGGACTAGCAGTCGCCCACAAACAGTAACACGCTTTCGCTTCTTGTTGATGGCCTTCCGCGGTGTGGCTGGGAGCTTCAGCATTTCGTCCTCGACAATTGATCTCAATTGTAGCCATGTGGCAAGTTCGACATGACGAAGAATCCCGTTACGAGAAAAATTATTCCGCCGAGCTCCCATCTTGACCAACAAGAGCGGAAATAAACCGCATGCCTTAAATTTTCTCACAATGTGAAGGCCAATTCGAGATCCTCGCCAGGCCAAACTTGCCACATTTTTTGCGTCGTCCTTGCTAATAGTGTAATAGCCATTTTCATCTTCGTCTACAAGCTCCCCGGTCAGTGTACGAATTTGGCTCTTGAGCGTGGCGAAAACAGCAACATCCAATGGTTGCAAAAGGTGCGCGCCATTGGGAGGCAGAAAGACAAGCTTGACACTCTGCTGTATTGCCGTGTCAACCACCTTAGCAGAATAATAATATGCGCAGCCATCCAGGATCAGCACGAGCGGACATTCAACTGTTCTAGCAAAAAACGTAGCCATTCCTCGAACAGACCACCGTTCATGAAGCCCGAGGGTGATGTTGTCACTGCATCTCCTGGTGTGCAGGGATGCCGAATATTGCATTTTTATCTATTGCTAATCAAAGCAGAAAATAAATAATTGGGTTAGAGAGCTGACTATTATAGACCAAAATAGATTATTGAACTTCCTCAGCTCAAAAAATAGATTATTGGTACAGCAAAATTGGTACACAGCGAGGGCACCAGTATCAAAGAATGTATGGCCAATTAAACACCTTCTGGGTTGTGGTGAGTGGATTGGAGAAAGGTGGTACCGGCGCGTTAAGGAGCGCTATCCCTCGCTTACTAACCGATCTACTCAGCCAGTTTCTCGTCAGCGAAACTGCATCGTCCCCGCAGACCTTACCATTCTTTTCAACACACTTGCAAAGCTCAGCATTAAGCTAACACTCGATTGATCCCGAGTTTTTAATATGGACGAGACCGCTTTTCAAAAGCAGCTCAAGAGTAAGAAAATCGTTGATGTCCGTGGTTCAAGCAACGTGTGGTGTTCAGAGGCGACACCCAGCTTCCATCTTACTATGGCATGCGCAAATGCCGGTGGATTTGTGGTGCCTTTTGCCTTTGTCCTACCCGGAAAAACTGTGACGTCAACGCTGCTGGACGACATCGACACACCAGCAGGGATGCCGAAAAATAAATTGGTGCTGCAATTATTGCAATAAGAAAGCACCAATTATCTATTGGAGACTTTCTGGAGAGGAAGATCAATTATTTATTTCGCTC